CTTAACATAACACAGAATTTTATATATGAAAACATAGAATTTTATAACTGAAAATTTTCATGTTTTGAATGTACAGAATTATATAATAGAATGCACACAATTTTATATATGAAATTAACAAAGCGACGTCGTTTTGGGAGGCGCGGAGCACACATTGCTGTGTGCACCCTGGTGCACGGTATAACGATTGACTCTTTTTTTTTGTTGCTATTATGGCCCGTTTGGTTCACGGAATAGGCCGGAAATGGCATAGCATTCCCAGTAATAGGCCTATTCCTTTGTTTGGTAACCATTTCTATTACCAGGAATAATATTCCTGGTAATAGCCTATTACCTCAAATAAGGTAATAGCTATTACTAGGGCCCCCCTGGTATTAGCCTAATACTGAACGCTCAGGAATAGATTTTAGAATCTATTTTCATTTTTACCCCTTTCTTTAACCTAATTTTTTTATCATATATATAAATTTATCCTAGAGTAAATAGCACCTATGGTACTTCGAGTTTGGTGGCATCACAACCAATGGTCCCTAACTTCCGTAATTACCATCTATCATCCTCCGAGTTCTAAAAAGTGATCTGCTACCATCCTTCCGTTATTTTCTCCTGTTTCAGTCGTCAAATGCAAGGATATTAATGTCATTTTCCTTGGTTTTATTGTTGTGCAATCTAAAGGCCAACTAGCTGCCATCTAATTTATTTATTTTTGGTAAAAAGCTACCATCTAATTGGTCCTTCTCCTCAACGCCAAAGATCCCTCCGTCACACCTTTCGCCGAAGAGCTTCAGCAGAGAATACATCGCCACCACCAGGCTACCGGAGCCGCCGCCAGCGACTTCAATGCAGAATGGAGAGATTTGTACGCTGTGGAAGATTCACATTCGCATCTAGCTTTCCGTCCAAACTTCTCAGAGACCTTCCCGGCAGCCGGCGGCGGCACGCAAGTAGTAGAAAACAGAGACGGAGCGAAGAAGCTTCTCCCGTAGTCCCGTTTGAATTCGTCAGCCTGGAAGTTTGTCTGGAAACCGCTTGCAGTTGCTTGGATAACGAGGCGAGAACACTAGAGCTCGAAGCTTATCCCGCATTAGACAAACTGAGTTCGAAGATCAGTACTCGAATTTAAATTATAACATTTTCAACTTTAATACAAGTTAGCCATTAACAAATTCAAAAATTAAAGAATTTAAAGTAAGAGCTTTTGAAAAAAAAAAAAAAAACTTTAAAAAATTATCTGGTAGTTTTCAAAGTAACTAAGAAGTTCGCAATTAACCTAGACCAAGAAAACAATTTACCAAGCGCTCCACGGGACTTGTTTGCGTTGACCAATTTATCGGCGGCCGCAGTATGTTCAGAGCCGCCGTCGTGAAAAGTCGAAACTGACTTCACTGAACCGTTGGGGCGAATCCAATTAGCCGAGTCCATCGAGAACTCACCGTCGACGAGGCCGATTCCGCTAGACCTCGGCGAGCTTCCACGCGCAGTATCAGAGGCGTCGTAGCTCCCAACAGCCGGCTGCTCCTCGTCTTCCTCATAGTCCTTCGAAATCCGCCGCAACGTCGTATTGGGGACCGGGAGGCCGACGGAACGGGAGGGAGCGTCGGAGGCGTGGAGCGGGTGAGGAATAATCATCACAGGAGATAAAGTGTTCCCGGCGGCGAAGTTCGTGATCCGGTGAGAATGGGTGGCCGGATTCCCCTTCCGGTTGTCGTCGTTTGCTGGAAGGTTCATAATTGGTTGTCGGATCCTTTGATTTTGTATTTAAAACGAAATAAAAAGCCAAATGACTATACTAACCTCACATATAAAGGCCAAATGATTATAGTAACCTCATACTTGACGGCTGAGACAGGAAGAAGTAACGGAAGGACGGTAGAAGGTAACTTTTCGCAACTCGAAGGATGATGGATGGTAATTATGGAAGTTAGGGACCATTGTTGGTGATGCCATCAAACTCGAGGGACCATAGGTGGTATTTACTCATTTATCCTATTTCACCACTGTCATCGCCACCACCACCATCACCGCCGCCGCCGCCATCGCCACCACTACCACCACCACCACCACCACCATCGCCACAACCGTCACCGTCACCACCACCACCGTCGCCCCCACCACTGCCACCGCCACCACCACCACCACCACCGTCACCACCACCGCCGCCACCACCACTACCACCGCCACCGCCACCACCACCATCGCCACCATCACATATTTTTATAAGGGTATTTATGTCTTTTAAAACATATTTCATTTCTATTCCTTAAATCAACCAAACACTGTAATATAATTCCTAAAGTCTATTCCTTCCGCGAACCAAACAATAGAATACAATTCCTATTCTATTCCTTGCCTATTCCATTCCTTATGAAGTAGCATTCCTATTACCTCAAAATTCATTCCGTGAACCAAACATGCTGTTAATGAATTAATGACGTATTTATAAGGGTTGAAATGAGCACATGTTGTGCATTCGATATGCTCGTCACGTGCCCCACATACATGCACTGGTGCGATCGGGGGTTCTTCCGATAGGGACACGTGGGTGCTAATTCCTGACAAACCCATTTATGGGGAGGTGGCAGGGTGATAGGCGGAGAGGTTTTATCCTTTAATATAATGATGTTCGGTCAAGTAGATCTGGTCCGAACATTAAGATCGGGACTGAGCTTAGGTTGCGTTACTATTTGATAAGGGCTTATGCTCGGGAAAAGACTGGTCCTCAATTCAGATCGGGTCAGATCCGGTTGGGAAATGCTCTTCAGGGAGCACATTGTACGTGCCGAGCAAATATACAAATATATGTCTGAGGTATATTTTCTATCAATTATTTTATTTCATAGTTTACACTACTATATGGACCATGGCCTAAGAGCAACACTACTTGTGGATTTTTCTTGGTTCTTTGTGGGGTTAAATATGAGGTGTAGGAAAGAGAGAGAAATTTGGATACCGCCGGTAAGAAATTAATGGGTTTGTGTTGGCTCTACCCAAAAAAAAATAAAAATTAAAGCTAACCTATTATGTTGCATGTAAAGCCATACCAGATGCGCTTAGACCGTTTCGTGCACGTACTCTAGGGATGGCAACGGGGCGGGACGGGAATTAAAAAAATCTACCGTCCCCGTTCCCGTGAGAAATTTAGCGGGGACGGAGAATCCCCATCCCCGATCAACTCCATAGTCAAAGTGTTAAACTAGTACAATTTTTAAACGTAAAAAAAGAAAAAATAAAATTCATAAGTCAAGCAACAATTATATGATTAAATAATTTAAATGGTTTCATAATATATGGTCTATACACCAACAAATAAACATTCAAATGATTTCAGAATATATATTCACAATCCACTTACTCACAGTATAATTGTAATGATTTCATAATATAATTTAATTTCAATGGTTTCAATATAAATATATAATTTCCAATTGTTTCACAGTCTATAATCTCTAATTTAATGGTGTGTCACAGTATACTATATATATATATATATATATATATATATATATATATATATATATATATATATATATATATATATATACACACTATGTGTGTGTATTTATTTATTTATACGTATGAATGTATATCAATGCTAAAATATATAAAAAAAAAAAACTAAATATATAAATATACACACATGTATATTTGATTATATAAACCTATATTTATTTCACTATTATTATTATTATTATTATTATTATTGTTGTTGTTATTATTATTATATAATAATTAATTAACAAGGACAAAGTTTGAATAATTCAAGATAATCTAAAATTACTTAAGAAAATGAGGGTAATAATATTACCTTGAAACATTACTGATGACACATCAGTTTTGAGGTAATATAAGATTATTTGAACCAAACGTCCCCGGAAGCTTATCAAAATTATTAAATATTATAATATCTTTTATGTGAGGCCGTTTCACAAATTCTTATATGTGATCAAGATAACTCAGATCTATATGAAAATGTAATATTTATGATGAAAATTTAATACTAATTAAGAATAAATTTATTATTGCTCATAAGAGAAAATGTATTATTAAAAAGTGTGATAATTTTGAGAAAAATATAGGGATCATTTACTTAACTTCTATGTTTTTTTTTTTTTTTTTCATTTTTCAGTTTTTCATTTCTCTAATTTTTTTAATTTTCATTCTCCATTCCCCCTGTTTTATAATTTTCATTCATCATTCCTCAAGTTTTTCATTTTTCTAATTTTCTGATTTCTTTATTATAACAATAATAAGGTAAATTTGTTTGAAAATTTAACAAAAATGATATTTAATGTGATCATTTCAGGTCAAGTTTTGAGCGCAACTCATTTTTTATTTGTGTTTGTTCAAAATGAACTTAGATTTTACTAAATGAAAGGATGAAAATGATATATTATATATTCAAAATAGATAATCCATTAATGTGAAATTATTTAATTTCTTAAAGTATATCTATGGATCGGAGTTAGAAAATTTTGAGCTTCCAAGAAAAGATGTAATGGAATCAAAATCCCACATTGAAAAGTACTACTACGTATAATTTAATTTTTTAAAGAATCACAATCCCAAATCCCAAATTTATATAATAGTTAAACATGAAAGTGGTTACCGCAAAACATTAATAATTAGGGCGATGAGGGCCATTGTCGATCAGATAATCAAGAATCTTAGAATCAGACAATGAGGGCGTGTTGGGAGTCAGGAAACTTTCAAAACTGCACTAAAAAAATTACGAAATTAAACCAAACATCATCATATCATAACCTATATATATACACATCAAATTCTTCAATTCCCTCCGATCCCTCGCAGCAAATTCTTACCTTTAATTTGAACCATGTTGTGGAATGTAGTGAAGTGCCTCCTCAATAGCCTCTTCGATCGCCTCGTCAAGTTGGTCCTAAGCTTGTGGAATATAGTGAAGAGCCTCGTCAAGTTCGTCCTAAGCTTCCCCCCAGAAAACGTTTCAGAAAGACCCCCTGCCGATGATCCTTCCGAGATGTTGGTAATGGGGTTGATGCAAAAACAAGAGCTGAGCAAAGTAATCCTTCAGCTAGGTGTCAATTCAAGCCTTGTTCTCTTTGCGATGAGAAGCAGAGAGGATGAGTTGCCCTTTGTCGAACAGCTTGTCGTTGCGGCAAACATGATGGGATTTGCTCTCATCTGGAACGGCATTCTGGTTCCAGAATGCACGCCCACCTTTGCAAGAAATGCTGAAGTGGTGGGGGTAGGCCTAGTAATTTCTGGCGTTTATCTACTGTTTGCAATACTTTTGATGTGGTGGCTAAGAATCATCCTAGCTCTGTGCTGGGGCTTTTGTATCAGGCCTTTGATCATGGCCGGGGTGCTACTACGTAGGGAGTAAATCAGGCTTAAGGCTACTCGTGTTCGTGTTTGGTAAGTGTTCGTTTATGTTCGCTTATTAAGGTCTCAGTTTATAAACGAACAGAGTCTGAACAGTTGTAAGCTCGTTTGCTAAGAGATTGTGAACAAGCTCGTTTGTGTTCGTTTAATAATGTTCGTGAACAAGTTCGTTTAGTGTTCGTTTAATAATGTTCGCGAACAAGCTCGTTTGTGTTCTTTTAATATTTGTTTGTATTCTCTTTATAGTTGTGCTACTTGTTTGGTTATTTTTCGTGAACATATATTATTTTTTGTTCACGAATGAATTGTGATCATGAGCATGTTTATATTTTTTTGTTATTAAGCATTTAGGAACATGTTTATGAACAAGAACTAACAACGTGTTTGTTAACAAAAGTGTTTGTGAACGTGTTCACGAACGTTAACAAAAATTAATGAACACTTAATAAAAGAACACAAATAGAATTTTCAAAAAGCTTAACAAACGAACACGAACACGAACACAAACACTCCAAAAATCTTAAGAAACAAATTAACACGAACAACCTCTGTTTGTTTATGTTCGGTTCGTTAACCGCCCAAGGAGTAATTATATGATACGTAGTATATGCTATTTTTTTTGTCCCATTTTATCTGACATACTTACTATTCATGGTCAAATCAATTCTTTCTTCTTTATTTATTTATTTTATTATTCTTTACTTATTTTAAATTTGATTTGTTGTGTTTAATAGTACTTTTAATGAATCAATTACCGATTTAACCCTTTAACTATGAGGATTTCACCATATTGATTCTCGACTTTTAAAATTGTCCAATTACATTTTCGACTATGAAACCGTTAACCAAAATGATCCTTAGTCCATTTTACCATCAAAATGTGTAAGGGTAAAATATGAAGTTCCAATATTTTTCATCTTCCCTAACTTGCTAATCCGCCGCTCCACTCCACTTTATTCTCTCTTTCTGGGTGTTGTTATTCCCCTTCATCAATCTTGATCTATACACCCACAGCCATTAGCTCATAATCTCTAAACATACGCAGATACATGAGCTACCCGGGTTCGGGAAGCCGTATGTGTCTACCACTTGCATTCTTGAATCATTGTATGACTTTGATCTCAAGTCCTCCATTTTTTATTTTTTATTTTGAGGCTTGTGAGTGGGTGGGCGTTTATGGGTTCTTGATTTCCAGGTGGGTTCAGCGTTCTATCATATTGGGTTCTCCTTTCCTTTGGAAATTCTGTGGGTTGCTTAGGAAATTAGCTTTCTGATGTGGGTTTGAATTGAAAATTTAATTTTTGGAGCTGGATTTTGCTTGATGCTGCTGTTTCTGTTATCTTCTATTTGTGTCTTTGTTTAGTCTGATGCTTTCTGCTGTTTCTGTTATTTTCTATTTTTTGATAAAGAACAAAAAATGGTCACGCCACAATAATATTATGACCAAAAGTGAATGTTCTGATCATGGTTGCAATAGGCGCTAGGTGCTAGTCGGGCGGTAGAGTAGCGCTTAGCGCCTAGACGGCCTAGGCGGGGCCTAAGCGGCCTAGGCGGGCGGTCGCCTAGGCGGCTAACTGAAAAAATGAAAAGCAATGCACGTGTGTAGGTGCATATATGTCATATTATACATATATATATATATATATATATATATATATATATATATATATATATATATATATATATATATATATATATCATATAAATAAAAAAAAATTAGCAAGGTCAAGTCAACCGGGTTAACTCAGCTAACTCGACGGAAATTGACGAGTAAACTCGGCGTAATCGGTCGAGTTAGGCGCTAGGCGGCCGAATTAGGCACTAGGCGGGCGCCTAGGCGGCCGGTCTCCGAGGCGGGAGCCTAGGGGGGAAATCGCCACGGCCTATGGGCGCCTAGCGCCTAGGCGCCGATTACTCGGTGCCTAGGCGGGATAAAAAAAGACTTAAAAGTGGACTGTCACTTATAAATTTAGGATAAAAAATGAAATTACCTCTCTCTCTCCACACACACACACACATATATATTATAAAGTAATATCTATTTTATACCTTTTTTCAATCTTTTAATTTTTAGCACAAAAAATGTGATTAAGTATATATTCTTTACCAGCTAGCACGAGTAACTGATTCTTGATCTGTATTTGGGTTATAGAAGTCTTACCCTCCTAGTTGTATTTCGCACCTTCTAAATTAATGCATTTCTTTGGTTTCGAAAAGTATATATTCTACAATTTCTATGAAAATTTATTAACGGCTTTTTGATTTTTTTTTTTAAATTATGATTAGTAACTTAAAAAAAATTTGGATATAGGTTAAACGGTATCCAAAAGATATATACTCCATATTTATTTGTAATTAAATATGTATATTTGCAATTTGGATGGTTTACTTTGATTATGTTTCAGTTAATTATATTCCTAGATCGGATAATTGTTTAGCACATATTTTAGCCACTTCGGCCTTTAATTATTCAGCACCTATGTACTCGGACAGCACCTATGTACTCGGACAATGGTTCGCCAGACTCTATTTCAGCATATTTCCAATAAATGCCGCGCAGGCTCTTTTCAAAATATATATATATATATATATATATATATATATATATATATATATATATATATATATTAGTATATATGCAGGGACGGAGGGAGAGGGGGGCAGGGGGGCGGCTGCCCCCCTCACCCCACCCCCACCCCCACCCCCACCCCATATATAGTATTTGTATGTATATATGTATATATAGTACATGTTTTAGTATTAGTATAAAAAAAACTATAAAATGTTAACAAGAAGTGTGTTAGAGTAGGTGGTAGAGCACATCTTTGGTAATAATGAGGTTAAGGGTTCCAATTTTAGCATCAACATTGTTTTACAATTCTTTTTTAATAGCTTTTTTAATATTACACACACACTCTATAATAAGATGTGTAATTTATAATGTGTTTTCTATTCAAATTATTTTATTAATTATGTTTCATATTTTGTTATGAATATTTTTATAAAGTTTCGATGTGTTTTATTTTTCGTCCATATCCAACAATATTTACAATTATATTTCTTAGGTAGTTTATTTATTTATTTTTAAATTATCTCTTTTGTTTTAATGTTTTGCCTTTTCTGAAAAAAATTTCTGAATCTGTCTGTACTGTTTCGCCCCCCCTCAACCGGATTTCTGGCTCCGTCCCTGTATATATTGTACTTAAAATTACGTGACGTTTAGTTGGAGGGAGGAAATTAGGTGGAAAATGAAGTACAATTCCATGGGAGATTAATAATGTGGAACCAGTGTTTGATTTGTAGGAATAGAATTATTTAGAATTTTAATTTCAATGTTAGGTATGCATGGGAATTGAAAAAGAATCTACTATATATCTACTATCTACCATACTAATAAGAGTCAAAGAGAACTAGACCTATAATAGGTAGAAAAAAGATGGGTCAATTTTTTTTAATCAAATGAATGGTTCAAATTGACCATATTTTAATTTTTTTTCTTTGAGATTTTTTAATTTATATATCCTGGAAAAAATGGCAAAGCGAATAAGTCTGTCACTCTCACCGTACGAGGCAAACCCAGTCGGGAAAAATGGCAAACTCATCACTATCCGAAAATCTGGCAAGAACTCAAGAACGAAGTCGCTATGACGGAAAAAGCAAAGCCAATGGCAAATTGAAGCCACTATATCTACAATGCCTCCTGGAAAAAACATTCATTCCAATCAGACTTCACATATAATAATACTGATCAAAATAATGGAAGTTATTGAAATGGCGCCAGCAGACAACGCCCAGAAACCACCGGCCTTCTCCGGCGGCGGCGTTTGTTCCGCTATCCTATCACTCATCATCACCGCATTGGCCACAACGTTGGATAAACTCAAGAACCTCGTCAAGCTCAAGGAACCCGAAAACGCAATCCAAAATTTGGAAAAGCAAGAGCTTAGTAAAGCAATCTATCAAGTAGGCGTTACCTTAACCGTTGGTCTGGTTGCACTGAGGAGAGACAAATTGGAAGCTGTGGAACAGCTTATGGTTGTGGAAACGCAACGGGGTGTGGCCTTATCTTCAACGGCCTTATGCTCCGTGAAAGCACGCCGGCGTTTGCGACAACTGCGGAACTGGTCGGAGTGGGCATAGTATTTGCTAGCATTCATTTGATGTTCTCCGTAATTTGGTGTGGTGGCTACGAATCATCCTAGCTCTCTGCTGTGTCTTCTGTATTAGACCTTTGATAATGGCGGAAGTAGGTACCAAGAGGAAGAAGGATAATGGGGTGGCCACCAAGTAATATATATGAATTTAAGAATATAATAAGATTGAGCTACATGAAAGAGTAATATTACATCTACTCTTACTTTTTACTCTCCTGATGAGTTATCATGTTCTAATGGATTGAAAGAATTAATGGGTCATGTTTTTACTTTTTGTTAGATATATTAAATATAATATATTTAATATAATATATATTAAATATAATATATCTATATATTATATTTATATATATTGAGAAGAGAGAGAGGAATAGATAATTTTATTGATGATTAGAAATGCTTGAATAACAAATCTATTTATACTAGATAAGATAATTCAAATGCTAAAATAAAGGAGTTAATGCTCCATGTAAAGCTAACATCATGGCCATGTACTGCACCTATAATTACTCCCATTATTTTTAACCAATTAACTAACTACTTGGTTTAATATTACTAATAATAATAATAATAATAATAATAATATTATTATTATTATTATTATTATTATTATAACATTGCCTCCTTTAAACCAAGTTGAATATATTGGTCATCCCAATATCCTTCTTCAATTTAAGAAATGTCTCTGTCTTCAACGGCTTCGTAAAAATATCTGCAACTTGACACTCACTCGAACAATACTCAATGTTGATTTGTTTTTCAGCAACCAGTTCTCTGATTTTGTGATACTTGATATCAATGTGTTTACTGCGACCATGAAAGACAGGATTCTTGGACAACGAAATTGCTGACTTGTTGTCACAAAAAATAGTTGTTGGTGCTTCCTGCTTGTGTTGTAAGAACTCCAAAATTCTCCTCAACCAAACTGCTTGAGTAGCACAGTTTGCTGCTGCAATATATTCTGCTTCTGCGGTTGAAAGTGCTACAATCTGCTGCTTCTTTGAAGACCAAGAAAATATGGCTGAACCAAGATAGAAGGCATATCCTGATGTGCTTTTTCTGGTCTCAATATCTCCAGTCCAATCACTGTCTGTATACCCAACAAGTTCCACTACTTCATTAGTAGAGTAAAAAATTCCATCATTACTCGTACCTTTGACATATCTCAGAATTCGCTTTGCTGCAGCCCAATGTGATTCTTTTGGTTCCTCCATGAATCTGCTAAGTATCCCAACTCCAAAAGAAATATTTGGCCTTGTTGCCACCAGATACCTCAGACTTCCAATTAAGCTTTTATAAGACGTAACATTCACATTCTTACCACACTCATCTTTGGACACCTTTAACTTTTCAGCTACCGGAGTTGAAGCTGGTTTGGAGTTTTCCATTTTGAACTTTTTCAAAATATCAGCAGCATACTTCTTTTGTGAAATAAAGATTCCACCATCCATCTGAACAACCTCAAGGCCAAGAAAGTAAGACATAAGGCCCATATCGGTCATTTCAAACCTCTTAATGAGTGCCTCCCTGAATTCTGAGATTAACTTCAAGTTATTTCCAGTAAAAACCAGATCATCAACATACAGACAGATTAGAACAATATCACCAGAATCCGTGCATTTGACATACAAAGTGTGTTCATGAGGACATCTCATAAAACCAATTTCAACAAAATATGAATCAATGCAACCATACCACGCCCTAGGCGCTTGCTTTAAGCCATACAAAGCTTTTCTCAACCTGTACACTTTATTTTCCTCCCCTTTCTTCAGAAATCCTGCAGGTTGTTCAACATATATTTCTTCTTCAAGAAAACCATTCAAAAAAGCAGACTTGACATCCATTTGATGCAATTTCCAATCATTTTGAGCAGCAAGAGAAATAATCATTCGAACTGTATCAAGTCTACTTACAGGAGCAAAAACCTCAAAATAATCAATACCTGGTTTTTGCTTGTAACCCTTTGCTACTAACCGTGCCTTAAAACGGTCAATCTCTCCATTTGACTTGTACTTCGTTCTGTAAACCCACTTCACTCCAATTGGCTTCTTTCCAGGAGGTAAATCTGTTAACTCCCAGGTACCATTCTTCTCAATGGCACGTATCTCCTCATCCATCGCCTTAAGCCAATGAGTTTCTGTAGCAGCCTCCTCAAAAGTTAAAGGATCACAATCTGCAAAGAGAGCAAATTGAACAATCTCTTCATCAGACAGGTCATTATCATGACCCAAAACATAATCTTGCAAGCGAGCTGGTAAGTGGCGCTCGCGCTGAGATCGCCGAACTGACGATTCTGGCTGTGAAGGAGACTGGACATTATCTGGAATCGGTTGCTCTTCAACAATATTTTCAACAGCAGGAATAACAACTGAACTTTCATCTTTAGCTAACCAATCCCAGGCACCATATTCATCAAAAGTGACATCACGACTTATAACAACCTTTTTAGTTTCAGGATTGTATAGTTTATAAGCCTTTGAAGCGTCACTATAACCAATGAATATGCATTTCTCACCTTTATCATCCAACTTCTTTCTCAATGGATCCGGCACGTGGGCATATGCCAAACATCCAAAAACCTTGAGATATTTGATAGAGGGTTTTCTCCCACTCCAAGCTTCTTCGGGCGTCTTATCACGGACACTCTTAGTTGGACACCTATTCAACACATAGACAGCACAAGCAACAGCTTCTGCCCAAAAAGGTTTAGGCAGATCCTTGGATTTCAACATGCACCTCACCATATCCATGATTGACCTATTCTTCCTCTCAGCCACTCCGTTTTGTTGTGGAGTGTATCTAGCTGTCATTTGGTGCTGAATACCCTTTTCTTTCAGAAAATTATCACAAGCAATATATTCTGTACCTCTATCAGATCTCAAGATTTTAACTTCATAACCACTTTGCTTTTCAACAAAAGCCTTAAATTGTTTGAAAACATCACATGCTTCAGACTTTTGCTTCAGAAAGTAAACCCATGTTTTCTTACTGAAATCATCAATGAAAGTAATAAAGTACTTACAACCTCCATATGAGGGAACCTCCAACGAACACAGGTCTGAGTGAACAATCTCCAACTGTTTTGTGGCTCTCCTTGACTTGCCCACGGGAAAGGGATCTCTATGCTTCTTCCCAATCACACAAATCTCACAGATACGATTAGGGACATTCACAACAGGTAAATCAGAAACAAGTTCCTTTCTCGCAAGATAGTTTAACCCAGAAAAATGAAAATGCCCAAACCGCATATGCCATAACCAATTATCATCACAAACTTCAGAATTAAAGCAAGCAAGGAGAGTATGCTTAATTTTCAAAGGAAATAGTCGATTTTGGGACATATTTACCTTTGCAATCAAAACTCCTTTAGCATCTGCAATGGTATAACACCCCTGAGCAATATGTATCTTATATCCTTTTTCTGACAACTGACCCATACTCAACAAATTTTGGTGTAGTTCAGGAACATAGAACACATCGGATATAAAATTGTGAGTACCATCCTTCAACTGAATAGAGATTTTACCTTTTCCCAAAATTGGCACCTTTGACTTATTGCCAAATGTCACTTCAGACCGGACTGATTCATCCAGTTCAGAAAACAATTCTTTCTTCCCACACATATGGTTACTACACCCAGTATCCAAGAACCATATGTTCTTATCTGCAGAAAAACTATCGCTGGCTAAAAGTAAAGTTTCAGAACTCTCACCAAACTTTTCAGCAGTGTTTTCAGCAATGTTTGCTTGATTTCCACGATTGTTGTCCTCATTATACCAACAATCTGCAATCTTGTGCCCATACTTGCCACAATTGTAGCAATGAAATGGAAATTTACCTTGTTTGGTATTACCTCCACCTCTTCCTTGGTTGGAGTTACCACGTCCTCCTCCTTGGTTGAAGTTACCACGACCTCTTCCACTAGAACCTCCTCTTCCTCTTCCACGACCTCTACCAGATCCTCCACCTCTTTGATTAGTGCCAGTCACATTAAGGGTGACTTGACTCTTCAAAGCTTCTTCTGCTAGTGGTTCCGATTTTGACGTAATCCTGTCAATATGACTTTCTACCATACCTTTCAGCTCTGCAATTGATAAGAGCTCGGTTTTGTGTGACTCTGTTATTGAAGCCACCACATGGTCATACTTCATCGGCATAGTTCGAAGAACTTTTTCAACCACTGCACCATCTTCAATCGTATCTCCATATAGCCTCATCTTATTCACCATATCAATAAGACGAGTGAAATACGCATCTACTGTTTCTGTAGAGGTCATCTCACAATTATCGTACAACCTTCTCAACGACTGCAACTTAGACTTCTGCGCCCGATCGACTCCTTTGTGTGACACCTTTAAGATGTCCCAAGCTTGTTTTGCTGTTTGAGCACGAGCTAATTGCCCAAAAATGGAATAATGAACACCTTGGTGAATCTGACCCAAGGCCAATTTATCTCGCCGTATAGCGCCTGCATCAGCTCCTTCGGGTAAACCGGGATCAACAAAGCTCCAAAGATTTTGAGCTTGCAAATGTGTGGACATCATAATTTGCCAATAATTGTAATCGAGGTTCCCGTCCAATTTGGGACCCGACCATACAATATTGAAATTTGTGGCCATAATTCACTATGAAAAATACCTCGGGGTTGAAAGGTTGACTGACTCTGATACCAAATGTTAGATATATTAAATATAATATATTTAATATAATATATATTAAATACAATATAATATATCTATAATATATATTAAATATAATATATCTATATATTATATTTATATATATTGAGAAGAGAGAGAGAGGAATAGATAATTTTATTGATGATTAGAAATGCTTGAATAACAAATCTATTTATACTAGATAAGATAATTCAAATGCTAAAATAAAGGATTTAATACTCCATGTAAAGCTAACATCATGGCCATGTACTGCACCTATAATTACTCCCATTATTTTTAACCAATTAACTAACTACTTAGTTTAATATTACTAATAATAATAATAATAATATTATTATTATTATTATTATAACACTTTTTCACTTTTTTTACCCAATAAAATTTATATACGTAGTGAGCGAGAGTTATACTCTAGTGAGAGTTTCTATCCTGACGACTGGTCAGCATTCGTAATCCGACTAGGTGACTTTGTGCACGCGGCGTTTACGATGCTGGTTTTTGGGGCGCTGGTGCTTTTGAACCTCAACACCGTGGATTTGGATTAAGGATTATTTGAAGAAGGAGAATGAAATGGATTATGGGTTTGGTCACAAAGAAGGAAGGAGAAAGAGGAGAAAGAAAGTCGAAAAGGAGAAAGGCCAGGAAAAAATAGAAAGTCGAATATGAAATTATCATTCTAACCCCAAAAATAGAAAGTCGAATATGTAAATCATGGTGACTCGCCAAATGCCGGTGCGCACAAGAAATCTGTCCACTTTGGACAATGAAATTATCATTCTAACTTTACTAAATGGTGTCATAAATCGAGTAATCACAACTTTGTTATGAGAGATATATATGACAATATTTTGAAAATTGAGAGGTAATATTTACACCACTAAATATATCTTACCAAAGAAAACTCAATGGGAAAAACCTTAATGAAGGAAAAAAAGTACATCAAATATCATTTTTTCCTCCAGAACAACATTCTTAGGATCTTCAAACGACGCAAGCCAATCTTATGAACAAATTTCTTAAAAGTTACAGTGGTAATGCCTTAGTGAACAAATCAATTAAATTATACCTTGGACGAATTTGCTGGACATTGATTTCACCACGTATAGTACTTTCTTGAATATCATGAGTGTAGAAGAATTTGGGTGAAATATGTTTCGTTCTATCACCTTTGATGTATCCTTCATGTAACTGGATTATGCAAGTAGTGTTATCTTCAAATAATACTGTTGGAACTTCTTTTTTTTTTTTTTTTTTTTTTTTAACTATTGACATTCCGCAAGCTCCTTTGATATATTCAAATATAGATATCAACCACATGGATTCATGATTTGCCTCATGGATATCCAAAATTTCTACATGGTTTGAAGAAGTAGCCATTAATGTTTGCTTTGTAGAATGCCATGAAATAGCCATCCTCCATATGTGAATAGATACTATGTCTGTGATCGAGCTTTATGTGGATCAGATAGGAACCATGCATTTGCAAAACCTACTAGATCTGCTTTGGCCATATTTGAATAAAATAAGCCCATATCCATGATTCATTGGAGCTAGGGGGAAGGGGATTTAAAGGAACGTGTGGTAGGAACCATTCCGTTATCCCTTGCGAATGAAGTCATGTATCATGTTATGGCCTTGGAAACTCCAAAAGAAATTTAGGATAATTTAGAGACTCATTTAATGGAAAAATCGCTGACAAACAAACTCTATATAAAGAAGAGGCTTTATGCATGATGCTTCAGACTTAGGTGCATCATATTAATGTCTGATCTCCAGCCATATAATTTTAGATCTGGCCAGACTTGATATCAAAATTGAAGACGAAGACAAGGTGATGATCTTTCTATGTTCACCACCTCTTTTCTTTTGAACATCTGGTGACTACTCTTACATACGAAAAAAAATCATAATTAAATTCAATGAGATCTTTTGCAGCCCTACTGGCTCATAATTAGTATAGGTAGAATGCGGGGGAGGGCTTTGCTAGTGACAGTTTGTATACTAAGGGGAGTCAAGATTGTGGAAGGAAGCTAGTGAAGAATAATTATGGGAAGAGAGACTTTAGGTCTGAGTCCAAAAATAACAAGAACATTAGGTACTGCATAACTTCCATGCATATGGTATGTTATCTGGATGGCAGACATTGGGGAAACTGGCATGTCCATATTGTTTTCACCACTCTAAATCATTTTATTTGAAGAATGATCATAAAACATGTTGGTTTGATTGACATTGCCAATTTCTTCCCATGAGTCACTCATGGAGGAAAAATCAAGATGCTTTTGTAAAACGACGGGTAGAGAAATCAAAACCGCCACAATTTTTGACGGGTGATGGGTTGTTTAATAGTGTGAAAAATATCTCAAAGATTACTGATGACCCAATTGGTCGCATTGATGGGTTTGTGCAGTCACATGATTGCAGTATATTTTCAAACAAAGAATACCCGGAGTATCGGGTAATTGATCCACATGGAAGTGAGGTATTAAGCACTAACTACTAATTAATTCTTATGAAGCTAATCCTAATGATTACCTTGAATGGTTGCAATAAGTAAATAAAGCAAAGCAATAAAATCAGGATTTTGTAAACAATAGAGAGAGATTGAGATTTTTGGGATTCAAGTATTTAATCCCCTAGTGCCTGACTTAAGTGTAATATTAAATATGGGATTAAACTAGTGTGAGAATGCAAAGATAGTATAGAGTTACTCCTGTAATCTCTAATTCTAGCGAATATGCACTCCCGTGATATAAACACCCAACAATATAAGAACAAGCATTCATAATAAATTCCTAACTACTACCATCTCCCGATAATGCGCAATAATCAATAATTAAACTCCCAAACATATATGTCATCCCCCAAGGTGCAACAATTAAGTGTAATTATGTGTACTCTCAATTATGCCTAACTCCCATTATGACATAAACAAAGCAATGAAACAAGTAATCCGGGCCCTGAACTACTAGCAACAACAATAATAAACACAATTGCAACACAAGTTTAAAACCCAAATAATAATATATTAAAGAATCTGAGAGCACAGACACATAGGTTCATAAACACTTTTACAAATTATCAAGAGAGTACAAGATTGAACCAACCAATTTTCCCAAATCTCCCTAGCTTTCTTCTTGCTTCCCAAGACAACTTGTGGTTCTTGATTTCTCTCTTTCTTGTCTCCAACAATCTCTGAATGAATTTTAGGGTTGAGGAAGGTGGAATTTTATAGCTGGAACCAATTCCGGAGGAAATAGGAAAATTCCGTGTGAAACGGGCCAAAAATGCGCCTGCGCCGTCTTCCCGCTCGACGCGTCGAGCCTTGATGTTACAAATCTTGGTTGGGTTCTGGAAAATCTCGACGCGTCGAGAAAGACGTCAAATTCTGGTGGACCTCGTTGTATCCGCTCAACGCGTCGAGCCCCTGGGCGCCTTCTCGGACTCGGCATTGGAAAATTTGGACGTACGCGCCATGCGATCCACTTTGACTCCAAATTTTCCAAGAACTTCCCTTGTCTTTGCTAATGACGTACAATGGTTCCAAAACACTAACAAACACCGTAAAACATTCAAAAGAAGTGTGAATCATAACTAAATGATAAAACAACGGATTATGCAATTAAATTACCAAAATCATGAACTCAAGCCTAACAAATATGATCAAATTAATACTAGAATTGTGCACAATTAGACTCACATCATCACACAATTGGAAGAGAAAAAGTATATTTTGGGATTTGCCTTATTGGAAGGATAACTTGCTCCGTCATAATCTAGACATGACGATACATATGGATGCCTTATATACAGGAGACGGATTAGGTGAGAACCACATGCCCACGAGAGGAATTCGAATTCATCACAGCCGTTCATCTGTCTAGATCAAACGGATCATAAACACAGTTAAAAAACAAAACGCGATGATATATTTGTAAATAATTTGAACTTTGAAATTCAAGTAAATTGTGTTAAAAATGCAAGTAACAGTTTCATAGAGTGCACCTACGTGCAAATAAAATGTATTAAAAATGCAAATAAAATGTATTAGATGTGTATCAATATAATATACATCGAGCAATAATACTATGACCAACATGAGAAATTCTATCTGGAAAAAAAAAAAAAAAAAAAAAAAAAAAAAAACTAGTAAAATGACACTATAAGTCTAAGACAAAAAATGATGCTACCTTAAAGATTGTTGATATACAACCAATCAAAAAAAACATTAGCATGAATAATTAACCATGGTCAAATCAGAGAAAAGCTAGGAAAATTGAGAGCACAGAACCAATAATCACTAGAAAGTAGAAACCCTGCATACTGCTATACGTTTAAGATTAGAAACAGAAAGTTATTTAATCAATCGTTATACCCTACACCACGGCGCACATAGCACTGTGCGCCGCGCGCCTCTCAAAACGACGTCGTTTTGGGGTCGTTTTGGGAGGCGCGGTAGAAAGTTGTTGGGATTATGTGTATTTGTTCACAAAGTTATGTGTATTTGTTCATACAGTTATATGTATTGGTTCATACAGTTATGTACATTTTTTATATAATTATGTACATTCTTTTTATACAATTATGTACATCCGAATCAGAAAATTTGTGTGTATTATGTTAAAAGTTGATGTGTATTATATTAAAAGTTTATGTTTATTATGTTAAAAGTTTATGTTTATTATGTATTATATTAGATTATGTGTATTATCTTTTAAAAAGAGTATGTATATTTTGTTATATAATTATGTACATTCATGTATACAATTATGTGTATTCTAGTATAACATTATGTACATTCTTGAACAGCGGGTATTTTTTTAAAGAAAAAATTACTGTCATTCACTGGGGCAGGAAATTTCAAAAAAATAAATAAATAAAACGACGTCGTTTTGCATCTGGGCGCATAGTGCAACGCGTGCCGTGGTGTAGGATATAAATTGCCTTATTTAATTTAATGGTTTAATAGGCAGTATTTAAAAGTAAAGGAGAAGAAGATTAGAAACAGAAAGTATTGATTTATCAATTGATTATAATCCAAATCCTAGTTGGGTGCAAGCAAACAGATGGAGCTAGCCCAACTCCGTGCCCACATATGTATTTCTCATTTTAAAATTCAAATAGTTACTCCGGCGGCCATTATATTATGGTTGATGTCAAGAGTGATGACTGCTTCAATTCATCACCAACGTCACCGATGATGTGAGGGCTCTTCTTATGATATCATACATTAGTCATTCACATTGACAAATATTCAATTTCACAATAAACCATTTACCACTGTTTAAAAAGCAAATTAAACGAAAATGATTTTTAAAAATTTTGAAAGTGAAGTCTTATGAACCCGGAATTCAAGTGATATATAATGTAAATGACAGTAAAAGTTTTACAATGAGTATTTTCTTTTTCTTTTTGTTTCACTCAAGTATTTTCTTTCTCCTTTCAAATATTTAATTTATTAATTAAATATAACTTTTTTATTCAATTATTCTCTAACTTAGATAATAGATATATAACTTTATGATAAAAAAAAAGATAATATTTAATGATAATGTAGTACATTATTGACTAATGAAGATGTAATTACATAAACTCATATATATATATATATATATATATATATATATATATATATATATATATATATATATATATATATATATAGTTAAAGATTCCCGTGTGGTTGAATGCTTCCCGTGCGATTGTGCGGTTGATTAATGTGCGTGAGATTTGTACTCAATGTGCGTGTGTTGTGCTTAATGTGCCTGAGATTTGTACTTAATGTGCGTGATGAATGTGTAAAATACAGCAGAAAATATGGATGTCAGCTTATTCTCTATCCCCAGTAGCCATTGCCCCTCCCTGATGATGATGATGCAGAGGTGGGCTATGGTGGTTAAGAATTATGGGAATAATACAACAAAAATCCACACTTAGCTGGTGTGCAAATTTTGTTGTGCGTGCGTCATCTATACAAACATTCAACTGCACTGAAGATAGCTGATAATCCAGAATCCATGGTCAAATTGAAGGAAGAAGTAACAAGAAGCTTGGGCGTTAATGTGCGTGAGTTTTTTGTTCTGCTTCCTTTTGAGCTCGTAATTCTGAACTACTCACGCACATTAAACATAAATCTCACGCATATTAAGCACAATACTCAGGCACATTAAGTACAAAACTCATGCATATTAACATTACGCACATTAAGTACAAATTTCAGGCACATTAAGCACAACACTCACTCACATTAAGTATAAACCTCACGCACAACCGCACGGGAAGGCACAAATGCACCTGATCCCTTCCCTATATATATATATATATATATATATATATATATATATATATATATATATATATATATATATATATATATATATATATATATGTACACACACACACATACACACACACACATAGTAGAGTTTAGGTGCGGTCGCGCCTTAATGTGCGGTCAGTGCGACCGCACCAATAGTTATGCAAATATGCACCCCCTCACCCCATATATAATATTTGTATGTATATGTGTATATATAGTGCATGTTTTAGTATTAGTATAAAAAAACTACTCCATCAAATAATAACAAAAAATGAGTTAGATTGCTTGGTAATAGTAAAGGTCAACATAGTTTTACAGTTTTTTCAGTCCCTACTGCTTCGCTTCTCCTCAATTAAATTTCTAACTCTGTCCCTGCTCACGTCGTAATATTGTATCCAGAAGTTTTGGAAATGTCCTACGTGTTGCGCGAATCAGTGTATGCCGTTAAATGTGTCATTATGGCCAAACTATTAAGCGGCTAAACATCTCTCTTTATAGTCGGAAACAACACGTCAATTAACTCAATTTCTACCACTTTTTTAATTTTTCGTCAAAACAGAATATTACAATATTTTAATGTGTCACGAAAGAGCGGGTGTCGTAATCTATCGCTTTTTGTCTTTTTCCTCTCATATCATCCACCATTCGGTCAGTGACTAATCCGTTTCAATGCCAGGCTA